GTATACATACTTCCTGCAATTCCGGTTATAAACCCCATGTCAAAGATTTAACTTTTAGTTATGGTGCAAAACGGACGACTCCGATCGCATATCAGAGTAGAATTAGTCGAAAACTTTTAGGAACTGATCATAAATAGTATATCATGGTCAAACTGCGCGCACTCTACAGGTCGCAATTTTCAATATAATTTGATGTAACTTGGCACTAAGTCTTACTTTGACCCAAGGACGAAATGGTTAAAATTGGTCAGTTATTTCGTATAGCCCCCATACAACCGTACCTCCCGAATAGGGCTTTTGAGCTTATACACGGAGGGAAAAAGAAATATACACGCCTGGTACCAAATTGACCCCAAACTGTTAATAATTTTTCAATAACATCCGTTGTCAAAGTATACACATACGTACGACGACACTATGTAATGTTGACAACATTGCAAACAATCCGTTGCCAATAGCGAGGTTACCACGTTTGTTAACATTTTGACAACAGATGTGTATACAATTAGATTTCGACAACAAATTTTTGCAATGTTGACAACGTTGTGTTGTCGTACGTATGTATATACTTTAACAACGGATGTTATTGAAAAATTATAAACTTTTTGGTGTCAATTTGGTACCAGGCGTATATATTTCTTTTTCCCTCTGTGTAAATATGTTTAACGTTCTTGTATCACTCGAAAAATCGGCGAAATTTGGTTTTATATAAGTATTAATGATACTTCTGATTTCCGTAATAATCGGGCCTTTGACCCTATCCCCCATCAGAAAATGACTTGATGATCAAAATTGACTTATAAACACTAATATCACGATGATATTATGCATAAATAACTTTAATGTAGACGTAATTCTCTCTAGCAAAATTTCTAAGGATATGACCATATTAACTCCCTGCCCCCATATAATCCCTCTTATAGAAAATCCCTTTTTTTTGTCAACAAATTGGTAAAATGTTTCTAAATTAAGGTAAAAATTAAATTAATAAAAGATAATCAACAAATTAATATAATCACTGGTGTAGGGTATAATATGGTCGGCCATATGATACTATTACTGTTTTTTCTACTAAAAATGTTCTTTTTGTGGTTAATGTTATTTAAGCCAAATTATTTGAATTATATAATACTACCATTTCACTTTTTGAGAATGACTTCAGAAATAGTGAATTTGGAATCAAATAAAAAGGACTTCCCTCCTATGACAAGTCTGTGTTAAAATCATCACTTTTGCAGGTCGTTGTCAGTACTTCCAAAGAGTAAATTTTACTTCTTTTTCGCTTCATTGGAAGTTCTTGGGTAAAGTGGGTAAATTCGAGGTAAAAATGGTTTTCCTATATGAAAAGATTTTGTCCAAAAAGGGATACATTGACACAATTTACAACTGTTGGATTGTATTCTACACACTCACAAGCCTAGACTCATACAATTATTAACAAGGATTTCATATTATTGCTGTGTTCTTGTTGTTGTTTTTGTTGTATGCATTTGGAAACATTTGGTGTGTATACATATTTAAAACATTTTTAAATGTACTTTTCCCTATAATAGTATAATTGTTTAAAGGAATGTATTCCTTAAAGTTGTCTGTTATAAACTTTTCAAAATAACAAATTTCACTTAAAAGAAACTATAGTTTGGTTGAGAACTTTTTCTTTTTGAAAAAAATGAGTCATTAAAATACTATTTTCACATTACAAAACTTTAATGAGAATTTTTGAATCCTTAGATATAGCGAAAACAATTTGGAAATTACCGTCTGTCTGTCCGTCTGTCCATCTGTCTGTTTGTCTGTCCGTCTGTCCATCTGTCTTTTGTCTGTATTCATATTGAAGTTAATTTTCTGAAGGCTCCACATATCCATATATTTAATAATTCTATCGAATTTCGGTTACCTCTTTAAAATGTAATTGTTTTATTACAGTTGGCTGTTTTAAATGGATTTCTACTTTTAGATTGATTTCAATCTAAAATTAATACTTTAAATTCACTGCAAAATATGTATAATACACTTGCACATATTATGTTGATTGTTTGTCCAACAACAACTACGACAATAAAAGCAGCAGCAACAACAAAAAAATCAACAACAACAACAAAAAGTATTTAAGTTATGTGGTATGCGGCTGAGTAATTAATTGATTTTTATCTGACTTAAGGCTATTTTACAGTTTGTTGATGACAGTTTAAATTTGTTTATATCTCGTTCTCTCCAAATACACACACACGCATACAAATCCATACAGGAAAACATACATAGATACAAACCTATAATTTATATGTAAATACATACATACATATGTATGTCTACCTATACATATTTACATACATAAGTGCGTTTGTATATATATATTATAGGTATGCAAGTGTATCTAGATAGATTTATTTAATCTGTTTTTTTTTTCTTTTCTATTTGTAATGTTTGGGATTTAGCTTGTATGTTTATAACGTCGCAAGTATGTTGTCGTTTTTACTTATTTATGTTTATTTCATTGTATCACTTTTTTCTGCTGTACATTTTAGATTAAAAATGTTGATTTTATTTTCATGTTGTCATTTTTCAATTTCTTTCTGACTGTTGTTGTATTTAAAATTTATTTGATTTTTATTGGTTACTTAGTGTTGTTGGTATTTTAGGATTTTTTGTTGTATTTAATTTTTTTTATTATTGAAATATTGTATTTGTGGCATTTAGATATTTTATTTTTTTTTTGCTTTTATTGCCTGGTGTATTGCAAAGCTAAAATGTTTTGGGATTATGAGGGGATTTACTATATAACGATATAGATGCAAATCTTTTGAGAAGAAATTTAAATACTTTTTAATATAAATCTTGTGTGTGTATTTTATTTAAAATATTTTGTGTGTTTTATTTTCTAAATGCAATAAAAATAATTTAAATAAATTTTAACACACATTCTTGCAAGACATTAAATTGTAGATTTTATGTTGAAAAAAATAAAGATTTTATTTTTGGGATAAATAGGCACTTGTTTAGTAGTTTCTTAGACTAGATCAGATACTAGTAGTTAGACTGTTCAACGGATTAATACATAGACTAGTCCATAGAATAATCAATATATTGGTCCATAAACTAGTCCATGGACTAGTCCGAAGACTAGTCACTATACTAATCCATAGAAAAGTCAAAGGACTAGTCGCTAGACTAGTCCATAAACAAGTCACTAGACTAATCCATAGACTAGTCCATCGACAAGTTACTAGACAAGTCCATAGACTAGTTCGAAGACTAATCACTAGATTCGTCCATAGTCTATTCTAAAGACTAGTCAATATATTTGATGATAGAATACTAGTTCATAGACTTGTCCACAGACTAGTTCATAGACTAGTACATAGACTAGCTTATAGACTAGTCCATAGACTAGTTCATAGACTAGTCCATAGACTAGTTCATAGACTAGTCAATAGACTAATTCATAGACTAGTCCATATGCTAGTTCATAAAATAGCTCATAGACTAGTCCATAGACTAGTTCATATACTAGTTCATAGACTAGTTCATAGACTAGTCCATAGACTATTCAATAGACTAGTCCATAGACTATTCAATAGACTAGACCATAGACTAGCCTATAAACTAGTCCAAATACTAGTTCATAGATTATCCCAATAGATTAGTCAATAGAATAGACCATAGACTAAACAATAAACAAATCTATACACTAGTTTGAAGACTAGTCACTAGACTCGTCCATTGTCTATTCTAAAGACTAGTCAATAGATTTGTTGATAGACTACTCCATAGACTTCTTCATAGACTAGTCCATAGACTAGTCTATAGACTAATTCACAGTCTATTTCATAGACTAGTCCATAGAATAGACCATAGACTAGTTTATAAACTAGTCCAAAGACTAGTTCATAGATTATTCCAATAGATTAGTCAATAGATTAGACCATAGACTAGTCAATAGACAAATCCATAGACTACTTCGAAGACTAGTTACTAGACTCGTTCATAGTCTATTCTAAAGACTAGTCAATAGATTTGTTGGTAGACTACTCTATAATCTAGTACATAGACTAGTCAACAGACTAGTACATAGACTAGTCAACAGACTAGTACATAGACTAGTCAACAGACTTGTCCATAGACTGGTCCATAGACTAGGTCATAAAAGTCAATAGACGAGGCCATATACTAGTCCATAGACTAGGCCATATAGTTGTACATATACTTGTCAATAGACTAGTCAATAGACTAGTCAATAGGCTAGTCTATAGACAGGTCCATAGACTTTTCTATGGACTAGTTCATAGACTAGTCCATAAAGTAGTCTATAGACTAGTCCAAAGACTCGTTTATAGACTAGTTCATAGACTAGTCCACAGACTAGTTCATAGAGTAGTTCATAGACTAGTACATAGACTAGTCTATAGACTAGTCCATAGACTAGTTCATGGACTAGTCCATATACAAGTTCATAGGCTAGTCCATAGACTAGATCACAGACTAGACCATAGATTAGATCGTAGACTAGTCTATCGACTAGTCCAAAGACTAGTTTATAGATTAGTTCATAGACTAGTTCATAGATTGCACCATAGACTAGTCAGTAGACTAGACCATGTAGTAGTTAGTTAGTATACTAGACAATAGATAAGACAATAGAATATTAAATCTACAAGTCGATAGACTAATCCACAGACTAGCCAATAAACTAGTCCACAGACTAGTCAATAGTAGTTAATAGATTACTTCTTAGACGAAACAATATACAAGTCTGTAGAATATTTAATAAACTAATGCATAGAATAGCATGATAACTAGTTCATAGACTAGTCAAAAACTTTTCGAGAGACAAGACGATATTTGAATATGTTTGAATACCTATACATCTACAGTACGTATGATTAATATTTATTAGCATTAATAATCATACGCACTTTTCAAACTTCATACAAATTTAAAAATTTCTTTTACATAAAAAAACTCCCTTAAAATTAACAACCAAATTTCCAAATCTCACTCACCTGCGTCTCAGTCACATTTAACAATTTCGCCATTTCTGTTCGTTCACTCGAACTAAGGTACTTTTTAATTTCAAATTGTTTTTCCAATTCGAATATTTGCCTTCCCGTAAATGTAGTTCTGGCCTTTTTCTTACGTCTAGCATCTGTTGAACCCGAATCGGAATCATCTTCTGTTGTTTCCATATTTACAGCTGGCGGTGTAGTACTCATAGATGAAGGTGCTAAACGTTCACGTATTAAACTGTCACTACTGCCCGAGGGACTAACATCAGGCGGTAAAGTGATATTCGAGGGCGGCGCTATGGCAGAGGAAAGTTTTTTCTTTTTAGCACAAGTTTTATTAGCAGTTGTTTGACTAGAATCTAGAAAGAATTTTAAATAGAAAAGAAAAATTTTTATTTTTTTTACATTGTTTTCACTATTTGTTCTTAATTACTTAAGCTTGTCATAAATAATGAATACATTTTTTATTTATTTGTATTGAAATGTTATTTTAAACCCTATTTTTTATTGTGTCTGTTTCTATGTGTCTGTCTGTTTTTGTTTGGTTTGTTCATTAATTAATTGCACATGTTTAATTCACGATTTTTTGTTATTACTTTATTATTTTTTCCTATTTTTTTTGCCTTTTAATTTTTTAAGTTTTTTTTTTGCAATTTTTATTTGCCATTAAATGTCCTCCTCTATGGTTGTAAAGTCATTATGAATGTATTTCATTAATAATGATTTTATAACCAGACATTTTACAATTAAATTACTTTTATTGTATTGCAACTTTTTTTACAAGACACTTGTGATTGTTGTGACGGCTGTTATAAAGATCAGTTTAGTTTTAGTTTATATCTGATAATTTACTCTGTTCTCCTGCTAGAATTCACTTCATTTTCGTTTCCTTGTAAGCTATTTCTATTATATACTCTAGCCGTTATTCAAGGCTTAAAACCATATTCAATTTTTTATAATGACAATATGTATTTAATTATACAATTTGTTCTATTATATTTTTCCAGTTATATACATTTGTTATATAATATTGATAGATTATAAAATTGACTATAAATGACAAGTTATTCACAGTTTAATATGTATAATGTTGGTGGCAAAAACATTTTGCAAAATATAAACTCAAAATCAATTGATATTTAAATTAAGTTAACAAAATAACATAACAAATACAATTTATTTTCTATTATAATTTAAACTAACATTTGTTTGTAACTCTCATTACAATATACTTTTAAAAGTTAACACTTTAAAAAGCTATTGCTGTCCATCCGTCCGTCTGTCTGTCTGTATCTATTAATGTTTTTCCACTTTTTAAAAATATAATATTTCAATTTATATTAATTATTCCATTAAATAAAAAAACACCAACCAAGATATTTAAATGTCATTTACTGCTGTTGAACATTTAAATTTCATTTTAACTACATACAGCGAATAACAGCTTATTGCAACAATATTATTTATTATTAAGTCTCTTATAAAATTAAATGCATTTTAAATAAATTCGAAAAATGTGTTGCCAGCCATTTGTTTGTATGTTGTTGTTTTTTTTTTTCGATTTTGTTCATTTCGTTTCATTTCCATCAATTTGCCAGCACTTTTGAGTCGTTTGTGTTCATTGGCCATTTTTAATTTGTTTGTATCGTTTTAATAAAATATTTAATAAGAAAATAAAACATTTATTGGATTCGGTATAAGACGAATTTTTATGTACCTTTATAACACTTTTTCGAAAAAAAACTTATATGCCCCCTTTTTGAAAACCTATTCTAAAGGTCTTCGAAATACCTTTCGTTTTAAATATTATTTGGTACATCAACTGATTTATGATATATAGAAATTTGTATCCTATAATAGATCTTTAAACATTTTCTATAGAAAGCTATGAAGATCAGTTTTGTACCGAAAATTTTCACAAACAATTTTCTATAAAAAATATAAAAAATCAGTATATTAAATAGATCAGTTTCATATAGAAATCATTTACGATATGCTTGCATCCATTACTATTAGTTTATTATAGAAAACTTTCACATCGACATCATATTGAAAGCTTTTACTGTCACGATCAGTTTTCTTTAAAATGTTTTAACGTTATCTCTTAAAAATATTCTTAATCATCTCTCAATAAGAACTTTCAAGTTTTCTATAGCAAATAGTTGTATTTTCTTTAAAATCTTTTTTATTAGTTTCTTATGGAAAACTTGCATGAACAGTTTCCTATAGAAAACTTTTTCTGTATAGAAAACATTAACAATAAAAAAGTTGCACGATCAATCTTCTCTAGATAGTGGACTTACTTAAGAGCTATTTATAGGAAGATTTCTATAAAAACGTTGTATTTTCTATATTAAACATTTACGATAAATTTTCTTACATGATTAGTTTGTATAGAAAACTTTCCTGATAAAATGTCTAGAGGAAAATTTCACTATAAGTTCTCTATATTACTATTATCTATTACTAATTAACGATCACTTTTTCATTTAAAACTTTCACGATCTGTTTTCTTAGAGATAACGATCAGTTGTTTATAGGAAAAAACGATCAGCTTTTTACGAAATACTTTCACGATTTACTTGAAAGCTTTCTATGGGAAGATCACGATCACTCTTCTATATTACAGTTTTATGATCAGTTTTCTAAAAAAAACTTTCATGATCAATTTAATATAAAAATCATTCACGATCTGTTGGCTTTAACGATATAGAAAACTTTCACTATAGAAAACTTTTACGATCATGATAAGTTTTTACATTATGTATAATCATTTCTCAATAAGAACTTTCAAATTTCAGTGTTCTATTGTAAATTGTATTTCTTACTAAATCTATTCCATCAGTTTCTTAGGGAAAACTTGCACGATTACAATCCTATAGAAAATGTTTAGTATTATTTCTGTATAGAAAACATTAACAGTAGAAAAGTTGCATTATCAATTTTCTGTAGAAAGTGGATTTAATTAAAAGCTATTTATAGGAAGATTTCTATAAAAACTTTCACGATCAGTTTTCTATATTATAGAAAACTTGCATGATCCATTTTCTATAGAGAATTTACAACGATCAATCTCATATAGAAATCATTCACGTTAAGTTTTTATAGATAACTTTTATTTTACAAACCTTTTTCTGTCAACTTTTACAAACCTTTTAAAGACTTTTCAGGTTGTCTTTAAGCAACTTTTTCAATCATCTCTCAATAAGATCAGATATAATCAGTAATAACAGATTTACTATATGTTTTTATAGAACGATCGTGATTTACTTTCCAAAATGGACTTCCTTCCCTTAAAAATGAAAAATTTGATTCAAATAGAAATCTTTCACGATCAGTTTCTTATAGAAAACATTTACGATAAGTTTTCTATAACAACTTTCATCATCAGTTTTCTACATTTTATATTTACGATCAGTTTTCTATATTAGACATTCACGAAAATGGATTTCCTTCCTTAAAAAAATAGAAAATTTTCACGATCAGTTTCTTATAGAAATCTTTCACGATCAGTTTCTTATAGAAAACTTTTACGATAAGTTTTCTATAAAAACTTTCATGAGCAGTTTTCTACATTATATATTTACGATCAGTTTTCTATATAACACATTAACGATCAGTTTTTATAAAAAAAAAACGTTACCGATCAGTTTTCTATAGAAAACATTCGCGATCACACAAAACACTTAATATCAGTTTTAGTTGGAAAACATTTTCTATATTAAACATTTACGATCAATTTTCTTTCATGATTAGTTTTGTATAGAAAACTTTACTGATAAGTTGTCTAGAGAAACATTTTATGATCAGTTTTATAAATTACATATTAACGATCAGTTTTCCATAGAAAACTTTTACGATCTGTTTTCTTAGAGATCACGATCAGTTGTTTATAGGAAACTTTTAGATCATCTTTGTATAAAAACTTTCACGATCCGCTTTCTAAATTAAACATTTACGATCAATTTTCTATAGATTTCGATAAAAAAAACTCTCATAATCTTCTCGATTAGGTGTCTAAGAGAAATTTTCACGATCAGTCTTCTATAGAAAACTTTCTGCTTTCACGATCAGTCTAAAGAATACAATTTTCTACCAGATAACAGTTTCAGTTATGAGCTTTAGGAATCTTAATTAAACTAAAATTACAAACAGAACGTTTAATTTTAATGCTGGCAAAATGACACAAAAAAGTAAAATATTTAAATTGCAATTGTTAGAAATTTTAATTGTTGTTCATAGTATTAATTTTTAAACAAGTGTTGTTTATTTGTTCGTTTCTTTTTGCTGCTTAATTTAATTGAATTTACTCAATGGATTCCTATTTCATGTTGCTTCTTATTGAAATCTATTTTTAAAATGCACAAATAGAAAATTTAATTTATAAAGGTTAAGAAGCATTTCTTATTTGTGTCAAAAAGAAAATACGAAATATTTTATTTACAACTATAAAATTATAAAAGTAATTGTATGGATTTATAGTCTAGTTATTGAATAATGACCATTTAGAGCTAATTTCAACATTGAATGGGGATCTGTAATGTGAAACATAATTTTGACTAAAATTAATTTAAACAAAAATTTAACCGGTAATTTTACCTTGATTTTAAAATTATAAATTTTTCAACATTTAATCAAACAATTAACTCTCAATTTGGTATAAGTTGTTATTTATTTATAATCCTATTATCATGAATATTAAAATTGTTTCTCTAAATTTTACTTAAATATCATCCTGATACAATCAATTACTCGCTTATTTATTTAAAAAAATTTAATCTAATAAAATTCTTAATCATTAAAACGAAAACAAAGACCGGATATTCATGTATAGAAGAAAAAAAAAATACTATAGAAACTGACGGTTTGTGACTGTGACTGACTGACTAAACAACGAACTCGCTAACTAAATAAACTGACTTGACTTGGCATGGCTTGATTTTGAGTTGACTGACTAAACTTAAGCTTTTGAATATTCATTGATTTGCAATTTCTGTTCAGTTCTTCTATTAGAAAAATAGAAAAAAAAAAAAAACAAAAAACAAAAAACAAACAATTCTAAAAATAATAGAAACAACTGCAACCATAATAAAGTGGGTGTTATTGTCTGGAATTAATTTCTGACAGTACGTGTTTAAATTAGAAAATGACTTTTGTTTTACAAGTATATAATAATTTAGCTGATTTTTTTTCTATTTTTGATTTGCTAATCTTTACTCCTTGTAGTATCAATCATTCATTTGCTCATTTATTCATTGTTCAATGCCTTATTTCCATTATAATTTAATTGCAATTGTATAAATTTGTAAATTGTTTTCTTATTTTTTTTCTACTCATAATTTGTTTCTTTACTCGTGTC